GAATGATATCTGCAAGTTGCTGAAGATAATATTTGGCAATAATGATGGGGTATATACTCATGTTTGTTTATTGTGCTGAAAAAGAAAGAAAAAATTGAAAAATACGCAAAGACTTTTCCGACACCCTAATGTTGTTGGGCGATCCTGGGTCAATAATGTATGAATTTCACCGCGGAGCTTTTTTCTGCTGTGATCAAAGGCTTCCTATGTTCTTGAAGGCAGCAATTACGATAGTTTCAAGAAGGTTTAGGGGAGACGTGGTGGTGCTCAATGGTACGTCGGTGGCGAAAAAAGCGGAGAAATCCGTCAAGAAAACGCAAAACGGGACCCCCTTTTTGGCCGTTGGTTTTCACTCATGAACAGGTAACAGCTCAGAAAGCGGACGTATGAACGAGTTCAGCGCAACGCGTTTGGTGACACCATGCCAACCATGCTCCAGTCGAGTTGCTCCAGTTGTGCCGCTGCTGGCAACGCAGCTCGTCCAAATCACCAACTAAACTAGTGGGCGGATCGCTTTTGGGGGCGGAGTGCTTTCGAAGTCCTGCTCAGCAACCAGCGCACCTTTCGTCGTGAAAGCGCTACACCTCGCTTCCCTGGCAGCCAAGTAACTGATTCGTGTGGTGCATATGCTTCCCCGATGCGCTCCCTCTTTATCGTAATCGCTGCCTTTAAACATTATTCTTGTGAAATTCGGGAGGCTTATGCACTCCAACAATATTTCACCCAGTAATAGGACTACAATAGTGAGAAGATTTTCTTACAATTTGCTCAAGAGCAGTGAAGATCACACTGAATTGAACCACTGTTTTCATTGGTGCTCCCATTCATCGTGTCAGGTGAAGATTATACTAAAGTGGAGTCCCCCATTCTTGCTAGCGTCAGTTTTATTTTGTGAAATAAGGTATGAACTCTTCCAGCAAATAGTTCTTCAGGTGAAGATCAGTTCATGATCATGAAATTTAGTTTGGTGACTAGTCTTCCGCATTTGATCACTTCTTCACTTTTTGTTTTCTTCCATTTTTCTGTCGATTTTTGCGGTTTTATCCGTTATTGAAGGCAATGCCTGAGTGAGAATGATTATGCGAACCTTCCTAACAAAACTTATCTTGCACCTTGATGGGGCTCGCCCGTCTTTCCACTAGGTATATTTTCTCTCCGTCGACTTTATCGTGGAATCCTCCTTCAAGGGATTCCAGCATTCCCTCAATTTGCAAGGCAGAATTATGAAACCTCCCGGTGTAGAAAGACTTTTGGTTGTGTTCTCCCCTCAGTTCAGTTCTAGTGCTCGTTTCCAAGTGAATGCTCTCAACTCCTGGGGTGTTGTTGCTTACCATTGGTAGGTCTCGTAGGGCTTTGATAGGCCGTGCGAGTGTTGTTTTAGAGTTGGTACGATGTTCAACCAGCAGTTTTTTAAGCAGCTGCTTTCGCAGTGGCATTCCTTGGTAAGTCGTGTGCTACCCACACAAGATTTAGTCCTTACCATCCAGGTGGTTTGAGTGCAGACAAACCACCTGGATGGTAAGGGCTACGGGATCTACCCTCGTGGGACCGAGGAAAACGGTTGGCTCAAGTGTTTGAAACTCATGCGCTGAAGCGCGAACTTCATAACGACGAAAGGTTTCATGGTTTACATCCAGGGCGGTGGTGATGTTGAACACGTTTAGTCTACAGTGGCAAAGCAATTTGGTAAAGAACAGCAATTTCGAAATGAGATTTGCGGCGTTGAAGAGTTAAGAGGGGAGCACGAATGAATTATGAAGATGTATACGGGAAGCAGTACAAGGTTCAGTATCAAAGAGTCATGTGTCACTGGTCTGGCCCTGCCGGGGTAGTGTTGGGATAATCGTAGCCGGCTCAAAACACAACGGAAAAGCTGGACGGCGAAGAGGTGCTAGCGCGTGTTGATGACGTTGCGGCTGGGGCGGGCGCGGTGAGAAGAAGAGAAGTGGCAGCTTTCCCAATACATTACATACAATAAGATTCTGAAGTAACCCTGATTTTACCATCGAGTAAGTGTTGAATAAGTGACGAAAATGGCAGGGTTTTTCTCGAATGAAGATCTTATTTGTGTTACCACCTTTCAATGTTAAGCGTTAGGAGTTATCTTCCAAATCGGCTATTAAACACGAATGCGGCATCGACTTTTCTCACTTTCATATAAAATTCGAAATCCCCTGCGCGAGCGATTGTGATCTTAAGTTAGAATACAAGCATTTGGCTCGGCTCTGGCAGCCTTACATAAGTGATTATTTTCTCAGGGAGGGTGGTGTATAGGTGCCAGCAACCCCATTATCATTCGAGGCGATAATTGCACTGGGCGGTTGGCATATACCGTTCTCTACTAGCGTCTGCGTCTTACCCTGCAGACTCTGGATCAGCACGCTTGGTTCTGCTTGCGCCGTCCGGTGTGTTTCCCCTGCCTTAGACAGGGCTGCTGCAACTCGGGTGCGAATAGCCAAGCGCCAGCGGCAAAAAAAAGCTTTTCATTTACTGGAGCGATTAATTGGCACCAGACTTGTGTAGAAGGATAAAATTTCTGGCCTGTATTGGCTGGCCCTTGCAAATCTTCACACGGATCAAATCGTACTCATATGGTGTTACTTTTTGGGTACGAAGGATACGTGGCGTATCCCTGAAGAATTGGTGGCTGGAAAGGGTGTCAGAAGCAAAAGACGTTTGTATAGCAATGACATCTCTGTTGAAGTAGGAGAAGTTAGCGTTCAAGAACAATCACGAATAGAGTTTTCCGGGACGTAAAGCGCTTCTTCAAGGAGGATTCCATGATATGAACGAAAGTCGAAGAAGGGGAAAGTTACCTTGTGGAGAGACAGGCGGACCCTCTAAGGGTGGAGACCAATTAAGAAAGAAAAACACCATTATAGACAAAATAACTGAAATGGTTCGTTTCGCTCCTTCCTCAGACAAACCTTATTATTTCGTCAATCCCCGGAGCTCATCATCAACACACAATCTGCATCGGCATTGGAGGTTATGCCCCCGGCGATCTAGCATGGCATTCCCCGTGGCCCAGTTGGCCCGGTACGCCCACCTCTCATGTCTTGTCATGTCTGAGTCTCTAGTACTTCAGCAGAGATAGCGTTAGCGTTGAAGAGGGCAGCACCGATGAGAGTCGCATCAATGCGAAAATCAACGGGTCCCTTCTCGGGTTCTAGCCCATTTTCATCGGTTTTTCTTTCTTTCGTGCAGCACTGACCATCTCTAACTTCATATCCAGTGGGCAGCCCTTTCATCGCGAAATATGTCTTCAAAAACGATTTTTGCACGTTATAAAATTTGATCCCACTTAGCTAGATGAAAGCCCAGACCCACAGCATCCACTACATGCGGCTTCCCATTCTTCTCAATATATCGATGATTTATGCACTGGTTCATCTTAAATTATATGTATACCTTGAAGATTAACGGCTTTCTCAATTATTTCCCATTTCTTCCTAGAAGTTTTGTCAAGAAAAGCGCTTCGCTTATGATGTTGACTGGGTGGGCGCACAAAGAAGCCGTTCATTCTTGACGAATCTCAAATTGCCTTCACATCTCCCAACAGTGGAAGTGTATAACAAAGTTATTTTTTCGATTGTTATTCAGTGACGAAAATTTGTAACCCACGCTATCCCCTTTGTCCCTGGCGTGGGTGTCACAAAAGCCTCCCGAATTGGAGAGATGTCAAAGATGCCACTG